TATCGTGAATTGAATTTTGCTTCGCACAGAGGTTATTGTTTATGGATTGTTATAAATGTGTGTTGTTATGGATTTGATGAGTTGGTTGTATTTTGGAATTCTCAATCTTGCTAATTTAGAGTATCATTGGTAGTTCTTGCGTTGGTGGTAAGCAAGGAAATAAATAGCTCGCTAAAGTTACCGCTATTTGAGAAATAGCTTTTTTTTTGGCAGCATGCCGCTATTTGTATTCATGTGCAATTTAGCCGCTAAATCCCGCTATAGCTACAGTGCCATAAACATTTTAGTCTGCTATTTAAAACCTTGGTGGTAAGTGACAATTGATTGCTGTTGTGCGTGATTGAGCGGGGCACAAGTTTGAATCATCTCCATTAGTGGAACAATATTCCTCTGGTGAACAAGATTATACTACTTTTCAAATTAGATTTGTGACAATTGATTGCTGTTGTGCGCGAGTGAACGGTGCACAAGTTTGAATCATCTCCATTAGTGGAATAGTATTCCTCTGGTGAACAAGAAGATTATACTACTTTTCAAATTAGATGAAAATTCGCGTGAAAGCGAAGCAGTGCCTTGGTTTTGTGTTGCATGTTGTATTTAGTTGTTTTGATTTCTCTTAGATGTTTTCAAGCTTTTAGGTGCTTTATTAAGAGGGTTATATAGTTTAGTTCTTTGTTATGTTTGTTGCGTGTTTGATATACTTGTGTTTCATTTTAAGAATGGCGTGATGCACACGGTATCCGTTCTTCTTATTATGTATGTTAGTTGGCAGCTTAGATGTTGTGTTGTAATGGATGGAAGGAAACAGGTGGGAAAAGTGAGCATGGAGTGGGTTGCTGCTGACAATACTAAGGTAGTAGGTACATTCCCACCCCGCAGCAGCAACAGAAAACCGGGGTGGACTGGCTACATCGAGAAAGACACAGCAGGACAAACAAACATATACTCTGTCGAGGTCAGCAAATAAATAATAACCAGTGTGTGTGTCAGTGTTTCCCATCCCATCTTGTTTAAATCATGACCGACCGACTGAGTTTCCTCTGTTTCCCCTTCCCAGCCTGCAGTGTATATTGCGGAAAGTGCAATAAGCTCGGGAACTGCAGGCTCCTCAGCTGACGGCTCGGAGAACACTGCGGCCATTGTTGCCGGCATTGCCCTAGTATCACTTGCAGCCGCTTCATCTATTCTTATCCAGGTGGGCAGTAAACCGGCAGCTGTTGTCCCGCCACCTCAATACTCGGGTCCCTCCCTCACCTACTACATCAACAAGTTCAACATTCCCGAGACCGAAACCCAACAGCTGCTCGAGGAGACAATACCATCACTCAGCCCAACTGCCTCGTAGGCGCTTCGTTTTTCCTTTTATTTTTATTTTTCAAGCTTGGAACATCACAAATTCATATTTTACTATGAGAACAATAAAACTCACATTTATAATACTAGTAAAGTGCACGTGGTGACATGATTATTTTTTCCCAGACGAATCGTTACCAAGTATAATTGATTTGTTAAACATGAAAAATATGAACATGTAGCATAGTATAAGTTTCAAACAGTTACCCAACCTTAAAACATGTGTATACACTGTTATTTGCTCTATAAGACTTCATGAGCATGTATGGTCTAGTTTCAATAAGACTTTTGGTCGTGGAAGTGAAGTTTTCTTGTATCGCAAATATGTAATTAATTATGAGAACACAAACTACTAAGACAAATAAAAACCGATATTTACATTCGTTTGTCCTCGAGCGTTAGTGATTTTCACAATATACTAAATTCTTATAAGAAATTGTTTGCATTTCAACATATATAAATATTATTTTTTTTTTTAAAAAAAAAAACAGTGAAAATGGTAAAGAATAAAAACATGTGTTTTGGTATGTTGCCCAAATGAATTTGTGAATCAATCGTAATATCTTCAAAAAATTTACACAGTCCATTAGACGAGTTTAGATTCCTCAAAATGATTATTAGACACAACTTTTAATTTTTGTGTTAATTAATTTCATTGACCGCATGTTTCTGACTAAAGTAATTTTCTTCATCTTATACCAAAATGTTGGTTTGACAAACTTGCTGAAATTATTTGGTGGATTGTGGCATGTCGGGCAACCTGTAAAATTTTTTTAATTTTTTTGACGAAAGACAATAACATTTCCACCAAAATTTTCATCATTTTTTTATCATATTTGTTTTTAATAAAAATAAAATTTTTAGTTTTTCCTTCGTTTCTCTTTTGTGACTCATCTCATATTATTAATTATGCATTACGTAAAGCCTAAACATATTTATTTATTTAGTTAGTTTAATATGAAACAACAATATACAATATATGAATTATTTGCTAATTCCTTTTTGCAGGTTAAGTTGATCAGTATATATAGAAATAGAAGATCGTATAAACTATTTTTTTTTTTCTAATATTTTACTTTTTAAAGTGTTGGTGGTATGTACTTTTTCCTAGGCAGTTATTCCTCTCCAAAGTTTTCATACATTGCATAAAAACATATATTTTAGAGTGCTTCATATTCATTAGTGCAAAATACACTAATGGCATGATGGTAAGATAGATTGACATTAGAATGAAATGATCATTGTTTTACTCATTCCTAACCTCATGATCAATATATATTTTTATTAAGTAACGACCATTCCAATGTAAATTACAAAACTCATCTCCAAGGGATCAATCAATACATAGCTAATGCATGATTTTCACATTCTCATATCTTTAGGATTTGGTTTTTTAAAAAATATAATTAAGAGATAACAATAAAAATAAAATATATTATAAATTATGATTAAAATTAGATTTAAAACTATTTATTAAAAAAATAAATTTCAAATAAATACTAAAAAACTAACTTTTTATTTATTATTCAGATTTACCTACATATATTAAATTCTTATATGCAAATAATATTTACAAAAATAAATTTATAAATGTTTTATAAATGTCTCAGTTTATTTTTATATAATCATATATATTATATTTTTTTTTATAAACTGAATAAAATTATAAAAAATTATACACCACTACATATGCTAGAGGAGTTAACATAATTATATATTTATGTTAGACAATATATATAAATAAATAATTCACTTATTTTTTATATGTGATGAGTGTACCAATATAAAAAATATTTATTAAAAATATAATGTATTTTTTTAAAATGAAAATAATATTAATATTATCATAAGTAAAAAACTAGTATTAATATAACTCCTGAAAATGCCTTTTTATTTAGAAAAGTGATAAATGATAATATCATTTTGTTAAACAAATCAACGAAGAAACTTGTTTTATTCATTTTCTATAATCATTCCATTATTCAACCCATTCAATTCTTATCAGATTTCATTTTATTATACCAATCAGTGCATGGTATGATGGCAACTAATCTTCTCCATTAGTTTGAGATTGAAAGTGACGGGTTCATTTACAGATCTGATAACATTTTGATGAGACTGCAATAATCCAATTTTTCAAGTTACTTATTTGAAATACAAACACACACATTATAAATCATATCAAATCTATATAAGATTTGAAATGATTTAAAAAGAACTTTTCATAATATCTTTCACATTCATTGGGATTTATAGCATTGTTGTCTGTAACACCCCGCCTAGACTTACTAAAATCAGAGTTAATTTTTGGCGCTATAAAAGGAAAGCTCTGTTTTAATTTTCGAAAACTCATATTAATTTTTCAAAAATACTTTAACTTTGAGACATGGGATGCTACTCAACTTTAATCTTAAATCTTTTGATCTTTAATATCTTTAAACTATTAGGCATGCAACAGAGTATAATTCATTAGTCTAATTAGGACTCATGAACATATCAGGATGCATAGACTGAAATTATAGATATTGAAATACTGTAATACTGAAATACTGAATGTGGAACCAAATGCAAGCATGCATCAAGAAAACATAATAATAACTTAAACACGTTCAAATATACATGACATGTTTACTAAAAATATCCTTGCTATGACCACCACCACATCATCAACTCACGCTCCACGCTCAACACCGTCACCTAAAAAATGGTTAGTGGGAGGCGTGAGCATAAATTAATCAACAATGCTCCGCCGGAACCAGCGCTGAAATATACAGCTAATATAATAACATATCATGATATTAACATATATTCAAGTACTTACTGGATGGGTGTTTAGTATATAAATGATGGGCAAAGGATAACCGAGTTACCCGACTCGGGTCGATCTCGAAGGAAGGCTATTCGGAGCTTTGTCTACTAGATGATCGTCCAAATCACAAAAATCCAAAATAAAATCTTAAACATTCTAAGCAATTGATTGGGGGGGTTTGATTATCACTAGACGAGCGCTTAAAACGAGCAATTAATTAAAAGCAAGATCAAAAGACGAGCAATTAGCTAACTAGATCACCGGAGTCTCATGTCATAACCATAACGGGATGATAATCAATCGACATACGGAATAAACGAGCTACGAGCATTAGATTGCTAATCCTAGTCGTCTAACCGAGATCAACAAGCAATTAACGGCTCTATCTACTCAAGCAACGCAATCAAGCATAAGCATTTCCTCCATCATCAATCAAATCCAAATTTACCCTAATAAGCATTATAAGAACAAACGGAGCAAAAACCGAAGTAAAGAGCTTTAAAACTAAATACTCATTCTTCCATTGCGTAGACGATGAAAAACGGAGTCAAAAGCTCGAAACTTGAACGAAACCGAAGT